TGATTCAAGATGGCGTCGGATCGGCCATCTTGAACCAGCACCTTTACCTCCTCGTTACTTGTGTAGTGCTTGAAATCTTAAAATCTTATAAGCAGCCATCCAACGTACAGCAATATTTTTGGATCAACAGAAAAAGGAGCGTCAGGAATAATTGGAGGAAATGGAATGTTAAGCTAATTGCCTTTAAGAACAACCGCTTCCTTTGCCATAAGACCAAAAGAACTAAATAGTGCTTGACTAACAGTACTAAACATTTTGATCAAAGATTCAATAGAGGAATACTGATCAAATGGGAGAATGCAAGATTTTCAAAGTTTCATAGAATCCAGAACTTATGAAGCCATCGAGGCTGGACGAACTCCTGTAAATAGTACCCTGAGATAATATTTAAATCTTAAAACATGAATATCCCTAAAGTCATCTTAAAACCAAACACTGTTGTGAGGTGCCCTTGAGTTGGTTCTGATTCACAGCTACCCTAAGCACAACAGAACAAAATATTGCTCAGTCCTGTGCCACCCATACAATTGTTGTTATGTTTGAACCTATTGTTACAGCCACTGTGTCAATCTGTCAATCCATCTTGTTGAGTGTCTTCCTGTTACCTTACCACCCCTCCACTTTGCTAAACGTAATGTCCTTTTCTAGCGACTGGCCTCTCCTAATAAAATGCCCATGAGCATTCTGGGTTTTCTTCTTCCACGACAGATCTGTTTGTTCTTTCAGCAGTCCATGGTACTTCCAATAGTCTTTACCGGCAGTATAATTCAAATACATTGACTTTGCTTTGGTCTTCTTTATGCAACATCCAAACACAAAACAATTGAAAATATCACAGCTTGGTTTAGGCACACCTTAGTCCTCAAAGTAAACTCCTTGGTTTTCAGCACTTTAAAGAGGTCTTGTGCAGCAGCAATGTGCTGTTTGATCTCTTTACTGCTGCTTCCATGCATTGATTGTAGAGCAAAGCAGGCCAAAAATCTTGATGTTACCTATTGTTTCAGTTGTGAGGATTTGGGTCTTCTTTACATTGAGTTGTAATCCATATTGAAGGCTGAAATCCTTGATCTTCATCAGCAAGTGCTTCAGGTCTCCCTCAATTTCAGCAAGCAAAGTTATGCCATCTACACATTTTCAAAATAAGCCTTCTTCTAACCCACATGTTGAATTCTTGATATAATCCAGGTATTCTGATTATTTGCTCAACATACAAATTGAATAAGTATGGTGAGAGGATACAACCCTCATACACACATTTCCTGATTTTAAACCATCCAGTATTCCCTTGTTCTGTTCGCATAACTGCCTCTTGGTCCAAGTACAGGTTTCACATGATACCAATGAAATGTTTTGTAATTCCTATTCTTCTTAAGACTAGCCATAGCTTTTATGAGCCACACAGTTCAATGCCTTAACTTACATAATAAACACAAATAAACATCTTTCTGGTATTCTCGGCTCCCAGCCAGTGTCCACCTGACTTCAGCAATGATATTCCTTGTTCCATGTCTTCTTATGAATCCATCCTGAACCTCTGTCAGCTAGCTCCCTTTCAGTGTACTGCTCCAACCCTTGTTGAAGTATGTTCAGCAAAATTTTACTTGCATATGATATCAATGATATTTATTTATAATTTCCACATTCTGTTGTGTCACCATTCTGTGGAATGAGTTCAAATATGGATCTCTTCTAGTCATTTGACTAGGTAGCTGGCTTAGATCCAAATATGGATCTCTTCTAGTCATTTGACTAGGTAGCTGACATAGATGAGTGATTGCTTCCAGTACTTCATTAGCTTGTTGAAACATTTCAGTCAGTATTCCATCAATTCTTGGAGCCTTGTTCTTGGCTAATGTTTTCAGTTAACAATAGTTGTATTGACTAAATTTCCTTGTATGCAGATAGATGTTATCCTATCCTTTCACAGACAGCATTTTACTTCAAGATATATCTTGAAATATCCTTTTTGATAATGAATACAATGCCATTCCTTTTGAATCTGTCATTCCTAGCATAGTAAACACATGACTGTCTTATTCAAAATGACCATACTGGTCCATTTCAGCTTTCCAATGTTTAAGACCTAGAACTTTTATGTTTCCATTTAGTTTTTGATGATTTACAGTTTTCCTAGATTTATACTTTGCATATTCCAAGTTACAATTTTTAATAAATGTTTGTAGCTGTTTCTTTTCATTTTGAGTCATGCCCTATCAGCAAATTAAGGTCCTGAAGTCTTTACTCTTATAGGCTTTATGTTATCCACGTCATTATGATTGACTCTACTTTGAGAAGGAAGCTCTTCCTCAATCATCTTAAATACCAGTGACATAACTTCCAGCATCACAGCAACACCCAAGCCACAGTAGTATGAAAAACTTGCAAACAAACCTGAAAAAGTGAGAATATTACTTTACTTTAACTTTAAGAAATGTCTGCTTCAAGAGCAATTAAGACCTGTATGGGATCAAATTGACAACAGTCAAATGAAAGGTTAGAAAAGAACCTTAATGAGCAGTTTTTATGTTCATAGGGAAATAATAATTTGGCAAAGGATGGTGAGAATTCTTACACAACTCAAAGAATGTAGCCAGTGTTACTGAATTGTACATGTAGAAATTGTTGAATTGGTGTATATTTTGCTGTTAATATTCTCAGCAACAACAAAATTTAAAAATTGTTTTATTACATTTCAGCTTGCTCAAAAACTCTTCATGTTGCCTTTATCTCTTTTAAGACTTTATAAATGTTCTCCTTAAATTATTTTAGATGGGGGTCTCTTTTGTACCCTAAAACACACTACTTAAAATTACCACCCCCCAAACCAAGCTTGACTAACACTTAGGCATGATTCCAAAAATTTCTGTATGCGTACTATTTACAAAGTTGGGCTCATGTCCTATGCACAATCTTTCTGCTTGCTATTCTTTACTTAATATTATTGAAGTGTCTTCTTTCGGTATGAAGTAATCTATATAAAAATATTTTATATGACCATGTAACAACTATTTTGTGGCTGTACCAAATGTATTACTTAAGCAAAGTATTCAACAAATTAAAAAAAAATTAGTCCTTTATTTCTTTTAAATGAGTGATTTTTTTTTTCATTTTGATGTAAGAGGCATTCAGCATATTGGCTTAACGTGTGCAATTTGAAAAAAAAATGGATTTGAACTTAGACCTGAATTCAAGCCCAGTTCACCAAGATACTAATGATATGACTTGAGATATTTTTTCAAGTCACTCTTGTCTTTGTAGAGATGAGGTGCAAGAAAATAATAAGACATCACTATAGTGGATATGAAGCACCTAATTTAGTGCCTAGTGAGTAGTAAGTCTCAATACATGAAAGCTCCTGCTTAGTGTTATGATTACTACTGGTTCTATTACTATCAAGTTTTTAGCTAAAGAAACAAATCTCTAAACATGGAGTCTCATACTTTTTCTAAACAAACATTAAAAACAAAGCAAAAAAAAAATAACCAACAAAGCAAAACTCATTGTTGTGCAGCTGATTCTGACTCATGATTACCTCCTGTGTAGAACTGCTCCATAGGATTTTCTGGGATGTGGTTTTTTTCTCTCTCAGCAGGTTTGGCTGTGATATTTGTGTAAGAGTTTTGCCAGGCTATTTATCTGTAGTACATTGGATATTTTTTTTCTGAACCTGTAAGAGATCCCAATCTCAAACATAATTTAAGCAGACTATTTGTTACATCTTAAAAAAGACAAAGATAACAGAAAGACACAGATGCATCATGCAGATGAAAGAGGCTATTAACTTGAGGTCAAAATGTCAGGATTCACAGTAGGGACCTTGGTTAATTCAGGCATGGGAAAAAGTAAATTCCCACAAATCCCAATACATCCCAATTACAGGTGAGACTACAGGACCATGATTGAGGCACATGCAATATGGTAGATAGAAGAACTTACAAGATTGTTTCACGGCCTTCTGACCAGGGCAGTCAGGATGAGAATGATAGGACACTTATGACTCTGAGACCCCCTGAACAGTCCCCAGTACAGTGACCTTCATCAAGGACCTAGGCAATCTCCTAATAGAGACTGTCTCTCCCTTGCCTGGCTGGAGCAGAGTGGAGGTAGTCAAGGGCACGATTATCTACATCCTTGGTTAATGTTCAATGGAGGCTTAATCTATGTGGGAACTCCGTAAATGGGTTTTAGGCTATGACTACCAACCATAGCCTTTTGCAAACTGGGTGCTCAGAATTTAAGCTCTAATACACTGTTCTTTTTTTTACCTGGGTCTGTCTCTCTGGTCTCTAATGAGTTGGTTTTGGGAATATCTCTGTGTATACCCACCTCTGCTGAGGCTCCCTTCCTTTCTTGTCCCTAGGAAGTGCACTGGAACATAAATACAGGAAGCATTAACAATGCAAGGCAGTATATTGAATCACAAATACTTACACTGAAATGGTCCTTGAATATTATATAATCTAATTGATTACACCTTCCCCTTCAACACCCCATTTTTGCCTTGGTACAGATGAGGGCCAGTTAGGGATAAAATATAGCCAAAGAAGTGGAATGAGCCAATAATAGTGCTAGACTTGTAACCAAGAGCCCTTTATCCTGTTAAAGTGCCTCTACAAAGACTAATGTGTAGATATTCCTGACTGTGCATTAGATAAAGGGAGAATGCTGTGCTCTAACTGTGTCTGATGTAGGAGAAGACTTTCTAGAAATACAATCAACACTTGTTTTCTCTTGGTAGCAGGCTGATTTTCATTCATTTGTTTACTCTTTGATAAACGTTGCTTAATGGCTGTTTTTTATTTCTTTAATAAGCTAGCCTAGAGCAGGGCTTTGTTACTGTGTGCTTATTTTAATATCCATCTTTCCTGTCCATCAATACCTAAGTTTTTCAGAATCTTAATATATTATTTCCCTCTTCTATGGTCTAGCATAGACAGTTGTCCTAGGCTTTGCTGAACACAGAGCAGATGACTAATCCCTTTTATTTGATTTCACCCTAGATCAATGTGCGTGTGACCACCATGGATGCAGAGCTGGAGTTTGCTATCCAACCCAACACCACTGGCAAGCAGCTGTTTGACCAGGTAATGAAGGAACTCTTGTTAGTTAGCCTTCTCCCTTTCTCCCATGAGCTCCAACCATATGGCCAACTATTCATGTGTTCTGTCTCTTGCTAGAGAATCACTTCTACTAACTTCTCTAAGATAGGTTGAAATAAAGTCAGCCCCCAAATTTAACTGCAATGGAGAAAAAGTTAAACTCTATTAACCTTCATCTTGTGTGGCCCCTTGATCTTGAACGTGGACAAAAAGAAAAGGGAGTTATGTCTGTGCTTGGCTCTCTGAAAATGTAGGTACATGGAACCTCCCTCTTAACTTTGAGAGATATAAATGAACTCTCCATTTTAATAATGAAACTCAGAAACTGAGTAACTTAAATGCACCTTGCTGGTATCTGACTAGGATTTGAAGCCTATATTCTTAGCACTAAACCACATGGCCTCTTGGTCACATTGTTTTGGCTTCCTTGTAGAAGCCAACATATTCCTCTTAAGGTAGTAAGTTCTAAGTGCATTTCTCTCAAAGGAATGTTGGGACATAGGACACAACTGTGGATAATGGATGGGGTAGGAGTATATATCAGCTCCTGCAGGAAAGCAACAGAAATAATTGCTTACTCTTAATTGGTGAAATGTCACTTGCTTGCCAATCATCATTGTCAGAAGGAATAGGCTGTATAATATAATAAATAATAGAATATAATATCCAGGATGATAGCCAGAACAAATGTTGTGGAAAACGTTACTTGACCTCTTTGTTTCAGTAGGAAGAAGGAGAATCCATGTCCACAGTAACCCAAGAGCAATTGCTACATGACAGAGGTCAGAATTGCCTACACCCTCCATCCTTCTTTTAAAAATTTTAAACAGTTCTTTTTTATTAAGAGACCATTTTATTAGGGACTCTTGCAACTCATAATAATCCAACATCAATTGTATCAAGCATATTTTTACATATATTGCCATCATTCTTTTCTAGACATTTACTTTCTATTGAGCCTTTGCTATCAGCTAATCTTCCCCCACCCCCATCCCCACCCCCATGACCCCTTAGTAAATTATAATTATTTCCATATCTTACACTGACAGTTATCTCCATTACCCAATTGTTTCTGTTGTTTGTCTCCCTGGAGGGTGTGTGTGTGGTAATGTGTTGATCATTGTGATCCATATAGCTATTCCCATTCCTGTTCCTGGATTCCGTGTCTCCTGAGCTCCTTTCTCTTATCTGTACTTGTGTACATGCTCTGGTCTAACCCACAGTGAAAGGTAGCACTGGGGTCATGGTAGTGGGAGGTGAGAAGCCTCAAAGAACTAGAGGAATATTGTGTGCTTCATCGCTGCTTTCCTGTACCCTGGTTGACTCATCCCTTCCCTGTGGCCCCTCTGTGAGGGGATATCCCATTGGCTTTGGGTCTCTGCTCTGACCTTCCTTGTTCTCAACAATATATTTTGTTTGTTTGTTTGTTTGTTATGGGTCTTCTGATGCCTGCTACCTGTTCCTGATAACACCTCATGATTTCACAGGTTTGTGTGCTTCTTCCATGTTGGCTTATTGCTTCTCTGCTAGATGGCTGCTTGTTTATCTTCAAGTTCCCAGATGCTATATCTTTTGGTAGCCAGGCACCATCCGCTTTCTTTACCACATTTGCTTATGCACCCATTTTGTCTTCAGTGATTGGGCCAGGAGGGTGAGCATCACAGAATAAACAGTTTTATTGATATAATTTGCATATCATATAATTCAGTAGTTCAATCATATTACAGAGTTGTGTAATCATCACCACAATCAGGTTTAGGACATTTTCTTCTTTCTTGTACTCATTATTATTAGCTCCCCATTTCCCCCCCAACCCCTCTAGCCATTGCCTAAGAAACTATTAATCCTGTTACTATCTTTATAGATTTACCTAACTGGGATTTCATATACAGAAAATCATACCAAAAGAACTCCAAAAAATACACAATAACAAAATAAAGCAGCAAAAGCTCAATAGAAAAGAAAACAGAATATATTAAAATTTTAGAACAAATTTAAAATGGGTCAAATGGGAGATCAAATGATAAGATGTTAAATTTTAAACTACTTCCAATGCACTCTGTCTGATAGCAAGGATATTCACATCCCTGATCAATGGCCAGAGAGTATTCACCAAAGACTTAATCCACATAAGGACCCTGAAAGTAGATTTAGGGCTTTTACTATTATACATAGCTTTCTGCAAACTGGGTGCTCAGAGTTCTGATACTATTCCCTCCTGGTTTTAGATTTTGTTATTTATAATCCTTTACATCCAAAGGCTGGCGTACTTCTTCAGTATGGAATTCGCTGATGCTTCACTTAGGTGGCTGCTTATGATAAGACAAGTCGTCAAGTACCTAGACACTTTATAAAAACCAATTTTAATATTTTATTTTACAATTATGATTTTTAAATAAATATTATGACAAACCTTTTGTCTGCAGTGATTATTGCCAGTATTTGCTTTTCAATAATTTCCAAGGGAAAAGCAGAAGGAGCATCCCAGTAGCTTCATTAGTTCACAAGGGCAGCAACAGGGTAGATATTTCAGTAACAATGTTCATAAAAGTATATGGTTGCAAGCTTAATTCTTGCTACAACACTATTGATTTATATCACCATTGGAAAGATTTTAGATTAGCAAAGTATGTGCTTTCATTTAAGGGAATGTTTGCAAATATCAGACTGAGCCCTTAAGCTCAAATCTGTTTTTTAAATCATATTTTTATATTGTGTGGCAGAAGGTAGTTTTAGTATGTAAGTGTCTTGAATAAAATCTCTGCCTTTACATTTCTAGAAAGTTAATCTCCATGCAAAATATACTGAATTTAAAATAAAAGTCCAATAGGATTATTTTCCTCCATTGTTAAAAAAAACTGCAAACCATAACTGCTGATTACTAAATTGAAACATTGCATTAACATGCATCACTCAAAGCTGTTCCTTTATTTAAAAATTGTACATACTTTACATATTATAAAAGCATTATGTTTGAGCCTGTTTACCAAATAGAGGGTGCTTTCAGTACTTCAGAATCAATTTTTCTTTAGAAACAAATGAAAAACAAGTCCTACAACGTAGAATATATAGAGAAAAATGTCTTTTACAAAGTAAAAGCATCTGCAACATTTTACACTTAGTATAACTTAGCAACACAGTTTATGTTCATATATTTAGCTAGTTGTTAAGAGGCACATTAGCTTATTATTGTTTCTGTAGGTCTATTTAGATAAGATAGGTGGGATAAACAATCTGGAGGAGAAAACAACGGGACCAACGGTTCCAGAGGGAATGGGACAAGGCATGGGAAAAGAAGGGGCTTATCAATGAACCCAGGGACAAGGGAACAACAAATGATCTAAAATAAATGGTGAGGAGGGTATAGGATGCCTGGTGGGGCTTGATCAAGGGCAATATAGCCGAGAGGAATTACTGAAACCCGGATGAAGGCTGAACATGATAGTGGGACGAAAGAACTAGGAGGCAAAGGACATTAATAGAAGTCTCAATACAGGCATGTACATATGTAAATATATTTATATATAATGATAGGGAAATAGATCTATGTACATACATTGATATGTTAAGTATTAAGGTAGCAGACAGACATTGGGAGTACTCAAGCACTTCCTCAATGCAAGAACACTGTGTTCTAATAACTCAGCATTCTGTGATGCTCACCTTCCTGACACAATCACTGAAGACAAAATCGGTGCATAAACAAATGTGGTGAAGAAAGCTGATGGTGACCAACTATCAAAAGATATAGCATCTGGAGTCTTGAAGGCTTGAAGATAAATAAGCGGCCATCTAGCTGAGAATCAACAAAGCCCACATGGAAGAAACACACTAGCCTATGTGATCATCAGGTTTCAATGGGATCAGCTATCAGGCATCAAAGACCCGGAACAAAAAATCATGTCAATGTGAATGAGGTGGAGACCCAAAGCATATCTGTAGAAAATTGGACATCCCCTTATAGAAGGGTCACAAGGAAGAAACAAGCCAGTCAGGGTGTAGTATAGCACTGATGAAACATGCAGTTTTCCTCTAGTTCTTTAATGCCTCTTCCCCCTCCCCCCCACACCCCCATCTACTATCATGACCCCAATTCTACCTTACAAATTCGGCTAGACCAGAGCATGTATACTAGCACAGATAAGAGCTCACAACACAGGGAATCCAGGACAAATAAACCTCTCAGGACCAATAATGATTATAGTGATACCAGGAGTGGAAGGGTAAGGTGAGGGGAGAAAGGGGGAACCTATCACAATGATCTACATATAAGCCCCTTCTAGGGGGATGGACAGCAGAAAAGTGGGTGAAGGGAGACATAAGGCAGTGTAAGATATGCCAAAATAATAATAATTTATAAATAACCAAGTGTTCATGAGGAGCTGATACCAAGGGTTCAAGTAGAAAGAAATACTTGACACAATGGATGGATGTATGAATTGTGATAAGAGCTGTACAAGCCCCCAATGAAATGATTTTTTTAAATGATTTTTTTAAAGAGGCATATTAAACAAGGAAGTTTCAAAAAGGCTATTTGAAATTTCCTTATACATTCAGAAAGTGCAAGAGACAAACAGATGATATAACACTTGATTAAGGATATATCTGATGTAATTTCTTGCTTGTATTTTTTGAAGAAGATAATTCCATTTGTGAATTAAAATTTGGTAGAACTTTCTTAGTCTTTTTGCTTAATTTTTATTACTCATTTATTAGTAGCTCTTTCAGATATAACAATCCATAATTCAGTTAGAGCAAGCATAATTTTACATTTGCTACCACCATCAGTTTCAAATCATTTTTTTCCTTCTTGAAAACTCTTTGATATCAGTTCCCCTTTATACCCTCCCTCCCCAACCCTACCCCACAGGAACCCAGGTTGCATCCTTTCACCACACTATTCGATTTATATGCTAAGCAAATATCAGAGAATCTGCACTGTATGCATCAGAATGCAGCATCAAGTTTGGAGGAAACCTTCTTAA